CTGCACACACAATCCCTTGCGCTCAGATCCCACCTGGATCTCCTTTACAAAGCTGATGTGGCGACCGGGCGCATTTGCATCCCTGCCTTTACCAGCCCCTGGACCTTTCTCCTTACCCTTACCCTTGCCTGTATTCTTGCCTCCGCCTGAAGCAAATGCAGTGGCCATCAGCTTACCCAACTTGCCCTTACCCTTGGTTTCCAAACCTTTCACCTGTGCGGGTTTGGGGCGAGCCTGCAACAGAGTACTCAACTCACCTCTGACCTCCGTATACTCATGGAGCGCATCGTTCAGTGTCCATCCTTTGTCACTGACCAACGCATAAATACACTGCCACATCCTACAGTCGGCCTGCTGAGCCTCCGATATGCTAGGTGGCCGAAGGCCGGATGCGGGATCAAAGCGCTGTGACAGCAGATGCACAAACTTAGAGCTATACGCCTTGAGGCGTGCAAGATGGGCTGAACTGACCATAGCCAGGGCCGTATCATGCACGGCAAGGATCCGTTGCACACCGCTAACCCCCATGGTGCCGTCACTAATCTCGATGGATGGTGGTTCGTCCAGAATGAGACTGGACAATCCTAACATTTCCAACCGGGGCTGTTTGGCTGGGCGGGAGATGAGCAACTCGGAGGCCCTCTCATCTGACATGCGAAGCTTCCATGGTATCCACTTGTACTCATGTTTAGCTTCCTGGTGAGCTGCCAATGATAACAACCGCAATGATGGCAGTGTTGATGGCGTAAGAATCTCACTCGGATAGGATCTGAGAAACTGCTGCTTCAGCTCAGACAACTTTGATGATGACATCTTTGGAGCAAAGCTTTCAACCCAGCTCCCGTCAGCAGCCGAGGATGCGACCGTCGTCGAGGGAGAAATTGATGCTGCTGGTGCTTGCATGCTGGCCCAAACCGCTCGAATCTGCGATTTTTGCAGTCTAGTCAGAACAACACCCGGAAAAATTTCATCCAGGATGGCTTCCAACTCCGTTTGGGTCTCAACTGAATTCTTGAAAGCCGAGGCCGTCCACCCACCATCGATGGCAACTTGAATGACGTCCTCGGGGAGCCCCTCAGAGGTCAGGGCAGCCTTGAGATCATCGGCCATCTGAGGGACACAAGACAGACAATACTGCCTAAACAATACCGCTAGAGGATGAAACAGTGTGAAACAGTGTGAAACGACACGTGATTTCAGTCCCTGCTGCGCGCGGCGAGGAACAGCCCATGCACGTGTGATTATTACCAATAGTTCAGCATGCAAGCGGGCAACAGCTCACCGACAGCATGTTTCATGACGTGCTGTACGGAGATCATTCGCCCCTCCCCTTTTTTCATAACCCCGTACGGCTCATAACATCATTCCATGGTGGACAGCGCTAGCAGACAGGCACTCCTACGGCACAATCTGCTTGAGGATGGGACAAATGTGTGAATGCGTAACCTGTCAGAGCAAAGTGGGGCACCACAAATCGCACGCACGTACTGTCCCTGAACGAAGATGCCGTCACCCTCAGAGCATGGCGATAGCACATGCAGAATACCGGTTGTGGAGCCGAGGAGAAACTCTTCAGCAGTGCCCAACGACTCAATCGTGTCGTCACACTGGTCTTCATCCTCATCCTCCGAGCTACCAGGATCTGATTGATACCCAGTTGTTTGATCGGGCTCTGGCCCTGAATCCGAAGAAGCAGGCAGCTCCGGAAACTCCCAAGACTGATCACTGCCCTGCAAGGAGCCGCCCGATGCATCAAGCAGGAAATTGAACCACAAGAAGGGCTCGAACTCGTAGGCCTTGCTGAAAGACTCCAACGGTGCTCTATGAGGTTTAACAGGCATCTGGCCCCCCCGGTGAAGAGGAACCACAAATTCGAAACCTTGGCGGGCGCTGTCCCGAATGCTTGTTTGGCATCTAATCATACCGTGGATGTCATCACGACTATACAATTCAGAGCTTGTAATCCGATGGTGTCCTTGGCGACGCCTGTCAGGCTCCGGGACATCGATTTGAAGACCCATGGAGAGCAAAGTGGCTTTCAAGCTGTGTATCGTGAAATTCAACTCCGGAACCTCTGGGGGCGATGACGACCATGGCATTGTAATGTAGTGCCTAAGCAGCTTCAAAGCCTGAGCGTAACACATTGGCTCCAGAGGCAGGGCGAATCCGTCCGAGTCCAGAGATGGGGCGTCTGCCTCGGGAAACTCCTGCTGGTGCCGATATGCCAGCTTGTCAAGCGCGTGCAAATATTTACTCATCCAGGTGTGCGTGCCTCGCGACAGAATGCCTGAAGCAAGAAGCCCCCAGGGTTGTCCCGTGGAGCAGGTTTTTGTTTGGTAACAAGTGCCCCTCAAAGTGTGTAAATCAAACACCAAACTTGACCACTCTACTCGCTGCATGTCGGCGAAGCGCAGTGATGCCCACACTGCACACAAGAAAGCGCCTAGCACTATGATTTCTTGAATGCTGGACTGCCGCATAAGGATCCGTCTCTCCCAAAGTTGGATAACGAATAGCGGTAGCGGGAAGCTCTCCCGACGCTCCGATGGAATCTTTGTCTTCAGAAATGAATCAATGACTTTGTCATAAGCGCAACGAAGAAATTCAGCTTGGCCAATCCTGCATAACCACCGCAGAGCTTTTATAGTCATATGCGTACCCGCTCCCAGCGTCGGATCACCGTGCTTCTCAAGAGTCATTGTAACCAGAATATCAGCCATGACTACCCCGTCGAGAAGTTCAAGCGTATACCCGAGCCCTTCAAGATTCACCAAGAATCTTGACCATGCCGACAAATAGCGAAGCACAGTGTTCACTGAGAATCCTGCCAGGATCCGCTGGATATGCGCATCCGAATGTATGGAATTTGCCAACTGCTGGTACAGAGCACTAGACGCTCCTAGCACTTCAAGAGCAGACCAGAAAAGTGAGAGCGCAACCATGCTGTAGCCTGCATTGTGTCTGTATTTCGGAGGAATAGCAGAAGAAGCACTGCCTCGACTCTTCTGTGTGGCACGCGGTACACCAGCAAGATCTGCAGAAAGAGTGCGTTTCAAACCCGAAGAAGAAATCCCCAGTTGAAGTGAACCTGAAGCCTTCGAAGTGGCGCCGACACTCACAGAGGGTCTAGGCTGAGGCACAAAAGCTGGCACTTCTGTCGGGGGCCCTGCAGCAGGCAGAGGCTCCGGGACACGCACAGTAGACAATCCCGGCAAGGCCAGGCCTGAAGGCGGTAGGGGAGGAGCTTTAGGGGAGCACTTCGGTGCAGGTACCAGCAGAGGTGTCCCACACGGCAAGGGAGGTGCAGAGGCTTTAGTCTTCGAAAAAGCTTTGTGATCAGGCGCAACAGGTGGTTGCATGGCCCCGGCAGATGACACTCACGCACAGATGCTTTCACAGACCCGCTACTTCAAGAGCGGCCACTCTACGTGCAAGCAAAGAATAGTTCTGCTGACTCTCCCTAAGAGCGCGCACCAAAAGAATGTTTGATCTCTCCAGACGTCTGGTTTCCCGTTCAAGGCGGGACACACGCAAAAGTGCCCTCTCGACAGAGGTAATACGCAGCTGGATTGCAGTGATAGAATTCTCGACGATCCCTACCCGACGTTGCAGCTCCAGATGAGCCACTTCAAGGCTCAAGACCCTTGCAGCCCACGCGTGGGACTGAGGCTCCGGTGCCGGGCCAGCTTCCATCTACCCCACTTTGGAGGCGCCCGCTCCCACCCGGCCGAGAACTACTGCAAAACTACAGTTTCTGCAAGTTGTCGTGAAAAAGTTGCTGTGAAATACTGCTCAAAATACGTTCCTGTGGAAAAATTTCTGCAACACCATGATATGGACAACCAAAAAAACAAAAGTGACATCATGCTAGCATGCACAACTATGAGCCAAAATGTTGCACGAAAACATAGTTTATAAAACATACGTGAAACAAGTACACGATACGTGTTTTGTTGGGTGTTGATGAGCTTTCGGGGTATGCGGTATGTAGGGGCGATGCACATGCGAAATGCAAACAAGTCGCCTGACCAAGACATGCCCCACATGGTACTTTGTGGGTATCTTGCTGACACCGAAAATCTCGACGTTGCCATATTCATCGCAAAGCTCCCCGCTGGTGAAGAAGTCGTAAGGAGACTGCCAGGGCAGAAAACGATGCGCAAAGCTGACACAACAGCATCTCGGACCGTACCGCATCTACATAGTAACAGAACAGTCGAGCACTGTGACCTCACTCTCCACGGTTTTCGCACAACGGTTTGAAGCTGCACGAGCTACAGAAGCTTCAAAAGCCTGGAAACCTTCGGTTGCCCAGGCCAGTCATGCCTGTTATGACAGTATTGTCAGTGGCCTGACATGTCCTCTACTAGTGCGCACTCCCTGCCGACCCCTAGAGATGCTCTCCACAGGCATTTGACTGGACATGGAATCATTCCTGGGGATTGGAAATTCTGCAGGCTGGTGGCCCTGCTGACATATGCTGGCAGCTGCTTCACGCATCCAGTTATTATTTCGAAAGATCAAAACCAACGTCGAAGCATCAGGAAATTATTGAATCATCAATCATCATCAGCAGCAGCAGGTTCATCACTCATCACTCAGCACATCACCATCATCATCATGGCTTCATCGTCGCCTCACCACGATCATTTTAAATGATGTCGCATCATTGCCTTGCACCTATATCATCATAACATGGCTCAATGACTCATACCGATACCAATCATATCAACGTAAAAGTTTTACCTCGGCTCATGCTTGTAACTTGTAACTCATCTCATCAGCTGCTGCATAAGTCAGCTCAAGGAGCAGCCGAGGAAGCAGCTTCTGACATCAGGATTGCCTTGACATGCTGCGCTGCGTTTCTGACTTGGTCCACATTGGCACTTTGTGCTGCAATGCGTGTCATTGCCGTCACAGTTTGGGCCTTTCTGGAATCGGGATCTGCGGCCACAAAGTGTGGCACACAAGTGGCGTGCATGTATCGAGATGGCCTTCGCTCACTCCAAAAATAAGAAAATCTGCTGGCGCCTTTGTCGATCTTCGCATTGCAGTGATAGCAGACACTCCTGGCAGTAGGTAGGTGCTACGGAACCCTCGTCAAAACCAATCTCCCGCACAAAATATGATCCAGTGCGGCCGCCAGTTCTGTAACCCTCAGCAAGCTCTGCCCTTCTCTGCTCGAAAGCACGAAACTCAGTCGCTGCTTCTTGCAAAGAAACAGCTTCATGTGCAGCGGCTGCATTTGGCATGGCAACTGATGTGTCTGCAGCATCATTGGCAAATTCGCTGCCTTCTTTTTCGTCGTCGGAGTCGTCATCATCGCTGCTGTCGCTGCTAGAAGAATCGGAAGAGCTGGCATCAGAGCCATCCGATGAAGAGCTCGACGAACTTGAAGTGGAAGGATGCCTGCCCCTGCTGCGGCCACCCCGACCCGTGGCCTTGGCCTTGGCCTTGCTTCTGCTTTTGGGCTTAGCAGAAGGTCTCTGTCGTGATTTCCTTTTTTTGACGGCAGGCTTGAGTCCAAAGGGCAGCTCAACTTTCTGCTTAGCAGGGGCCTTCACCGATATGGGCAAATCAAGAGCACCTGAGCTGCTAACCACAGTTACTTCCAGCCGCTCAATGTCCCACAATCCATTCTCGAAGACATAATCGAAAATATCGACTGATACTGTGTCCAACTTTCCATTGCACTGTGCTGCAAGCAATCGAAACACCTCGTAGCAGGTCGCAAACGAAGGCAACGCATGCAAAGCTTCGTCAGGAAGTGCACCGACACGCGGCCTTATCAAAGAGAACTTCTTGGGATGTCCTGACACCTCCGGTTGCGGTGCGCTGGGCCAGGCTGTCACAAAAACTTGCAGCAATGGCCTGCGGCAGTGAACACCCAGAAAGAAAAATCTCTCCAAGCTCTCTTCACTTTCAACAGCAGATCCTTGACGAGTCGTGGGGAGCACTGGCCGCAACTTGACCAAGGTTCCCGAGGAAAGGCAACGGTCAGTGGTGAACTTTGCAAACGCACGAGCCAGCGTCAGGGCCCTCTCGTGGAAAGGTTCCTTGGTTGCACAGTAGCCATACAGCTTCTTGCATCCCAGCTCAGCTGGCCCTGTGTCCTCGGGCTCTGGTTCGGCTTCCAAGTTGGCATGCAGGCCAGCATGCACGGCGGCATCCACGGTTTCCTGGGTCGTGTCGAACTCAATGCGATTTCGAGCGATTGCTCCATCCTTGTCTTGCAGCCCCAAGCCGTAGGACTGCCAAAAGCCATGTTGCCCCTGGGACTCGTTGCTTTGCGCCAATCGTCTTGCTGACACCAGCTTGCGAAACCGCTCACCTGGGAATGGGTCTTCGGCTTGGTATTCTGATTTTGCATCAGTCTGCCCAAATGATTGTTGAATTCTGAACACTGTATGAATGAATCTGTCTGAAATCTTATAGGAAAGCAGGAAAGCTGAAAGCTGTGATGTGATGCGACTCTAGGACCCTGGCCCACACGAGACCTCATGAGCTTGTTTGCTGCGTTTGCTTTACTGATTTACTGACACTAAGCAAGCTCCGTGTGAAAGAAGCGACAGAGGCAATCGCTAGAAAGCAGCATCGCAGCATCACTGCGCATCAGCAGCAGCATCAGCCAATAAAAGTCATGCAAGCGGGACTCAACGCAGCAGATGCAAATTGACTTGATTAGGCAGCTCACACAAGATCGCGTCCGCTCTCCTTCCCGGCCCAACCACCAAATCACAAAGCTCAACTGGGACTCGTGCCTGCCGTGATCTCGAGATGCTCTGTTGTTTGGGCATCTGGGGGCGGGCGAAGGTCGCCTGCCGAGGTGGAAGTCGTTGCAGCAGCTCCATTTCCTGCCTGCAGCGGACGTGTGGCCAACTCCTCACGGCACCTCTGTTCGTACTCGGCTTGAATCTTGAAATTCTGCCACTCTTCTTGTGGCAGACGGTGCCACTGTCTGCCCCAACACTGGACCCGACGGCCGTACTCGTCCTTCTTGAGTTTCTTCTTGCACTTTCGCAGGTTCTCTCGCAAGTACACATTCCACGGGCTGATTTCCCTTTGTTTTCTTTGCCCGGCTTTGTAAAGTCTCTGCTTGTGATTCAAGTTCTGCCCATCAGCAGGCCGCTTGCGGACGCCAATCCTTCTCATCATTTGGGCAACCCTGCTCTTTGCGGGCATCACAAGACCATGTACGAGAGACTTTCCGAAAGCATGTTCCGAAGCCAACATTTTCAGCACCGAAGTCTCAGCTGCAGCTGGTGTTGCCTTGGATTTGCCCCGCCACGAGTGTAGGTTGAACTGGTTCTGCCCGTGTAAGTTTTCCACTGTGTCTGAAGCAAGGGTGCAGAACACAGAAATGGCATGCAACTTATTCTGCACATCTTGAACAAGTGCGGCCCGTTGAACGCTGTCTAAACTTTGCAGATCTGCGGCCTGAGATAATATGAGAGCAGAGAATGCTGGGTCCACACATCGAGGGCAGCGGTCAAGGACCTTACAGCCTTCGGCACACAGAGAACAGAAATCCGCTTCGCTTGCAGAGGCCAGCTGAAACAAAGTCCATGGAAAACATGTTGATGGCAAGCAGAAGCGTCTCCATGTGTCGCTCAAACCGAACACAGTCAGCTGGAAGCATGTTTTATTCATGTCTGTGCTCGCACCCGAAAATTGACGGCAATACTTCGCCAGATCTTCATCCTGTAGGTTGCGAAGAAACGCTCTAAGCGTCTGATTGCCCAGCTCCCCAGTGGCCCAATCCATAAACGTCGCTGCAGAAGCTGTTTTGAGATCTTGAAGCGTTTCACCATTCTGGATGTCTCCATAACGCAACTTTTTCAAGATCGTTGTCCTGCGAAGCATCTTGTTGGTGATGGCATCAAGTGGCTGCAGGAGGAAATCCACAACACAAATTGTTGTTTCCAAAGTCAGCTGTTTTGAAAGCCTCTGTGACCTGTCGTTGTCTCTTCGCATTGGCCTCTGCATATGAGGTGTCCCGGTCCAAAAGCTCTTCGACCACACGGCTCAGCTCTGTGGTGTCGGCTTCAGTCTCTGCTGCTTGCCGCAAGGCATCGATCGCTTCCAGAATTTTGTCCGATTGACCTTGTCTGCCAGACGCAGCACTACGGCACTACGTGCAAATCCTAGCCGGGAAGCTACGTACGAAAAAGAAAACCGCATGCCGCCGCACGCACGATTCCAAACTCGAAGGACGCTTGTCTAGACTCTAGACTTAGAAGCACTGCCCGACGGGACACCTTGCATGTTCGGCATGGCCTCCAGTGTCCGTGGTAATATTCTGTGCCAAAAGCAGCCGTCCCGAACAAAGTTGCACGCCTCTGTACAGTGCTTCCATCGATAAAGTAGAGGCACACCCATGTATGCAAACATCTCGCCAAAAGACGCAAGCAAACTAGTCAATGCTTGCTCTTTGCTTGCACAACAAGACGGACCACTGCAGAAATGAACTATCCTGTCACCTCTCGGGTTGCCGTTGTCTTTGAGCATGTGGCGATGGATGGCTTTCATGCGCCTGGAAACCGTCCCGGCCCTGAGTCCTCCAGTGTGACCATGATCCGAATGTAATCGTAAATGCTTTATTGTGAGCTGTCTCCAGACCTCAGCTTCCTCCGGAGGCTCGCACACCACGAAATCGAAGGAATCACAGATCACTTTCGACATGGCCGCCTGGAAGCGCTGCCGAAAATTGTGCGACTCGAAAAGGTGCCCCAGCCGTACAAGATTGGACCAAAACCCAGGAATGCCCAGAGCCAGTGTTCTCCTTACCAGCGCAGCCTGGTGAACCAAGCAGTGCACATGCATCACCAGGGTGGCTGAGGGTTGCCTCTCGCACGGCTCTTTGCTGGCATCGACAGTTTTCTTGGCCAGGGCACGGAACAAGGCATCGTTTGCCTTCAAGGCGTCCGAGATGAAAATCAAGATATGACTTTTCACGAATCTGAAAAGGCGTTGAAGGATGCCCCACTTCTGCCATCGCTGGCCCGCAATACCACAAAAGCTGAGAAGCCACGATCGAAATTCTTCACACATGGTTTGCGCATTGGCACGTGCCAGAGATACGATGGGCTGGTGCACAAAAAACCATGTCGGAGAGGAGTCAGCAGCTGCATGATCCCGGAAGACAATGTGGTGCTGAATGTTGGACAGTATGCTTCGTATATCCGACGACCCACGCTGACCATCTCCCATTTTGATATTGGTATCATCGGCTACATTCAATGATAGCACAAGTGAAAAAGGAGTGATGCCCTCAGCAGCGTCAGCATCAGCTGCCTGCCTTTCTTGGCCCGTGCTGTCGTTCTCCGAAGCATGACCGAGGAATAATCGTCGCACTGCAGATGCAAAGCTGGAGAAATACAACCAAACGGCACGACGCCTGTCCTTGGCTGTCCATTCGGACTGCCGCACAGCTTCTAAAGGGTTCCACCAAAGGGTGCGAGATGAGAGCCTGCTGGAAAAATACGTGTGCTGGAAATCTGCAGTTCGATCATTGTCACACTGCATCGGAATCTCATCAAGTATCTTCTTCCGCTGACGACTCAACAGCGAACTGACCCGGGCCTTGGCAGTCTGCTGCTGTCGTTTGAGTTTGGCCAGTTCATTGCCATCCCTCGCACCCACGGCATTTGATTCTTCCGACTCTTCACGATTGCACGATCGGCTGGCGCGGTCCTCACTGCTGCTGCTACTGCTCGCTGCATCGTTTGCCCACAGATCGGACAGTGGCATAGCTACCAGCCAGCTATGCCGCTATGGCCCTGGCTATGCCCATGGCCCATATGACCCATATTGGCCCATATCATATGACCCATATGACCTTTTGATATGATATATGCCATCGTGAGTGGTTCTTCACGGTACTACGGTAACGGTATCTTACCTTACTTTCTGGGATATGGTGCGCCACTATGTCGACTATGTCACGTCAGCTTGGGAGCCAGCCTCTGGGCTTGGGTCGGACTTTGTTGAGACCACCAAGAATTGAACATCTCTCCCCGTGATCGTTTTGCGCACTCAGACGCACACAGACGCATACTCATACAACACAGAATGAAGAAATGGCAGAGTCGACAGAGTGTCACTCATGCACCGCCCAGGCCTGATACGTGTCGAAGAAGGGTCCCCGGCATTGCCGTGGCCACGCAGCGACAAATGTCGGAACCTCGCACGAAAATTCACAAAGACAGTCTGCTGCCTGCTGTTTAATGGGTACGCAGCTGACGCTGGCAAAGCCGCAAAAAGTGCATAAGTCTGATAATAATTCGGCACACTTACAATTCGCTGTCTGCACAACCTACAACTTCGCGGATTCCCTCTCTGACTGTTCTTCAAAATCAAACCGTTGCCGGCCTGCTCTACCACGAAGGTTCTTGGGGTCCGGTCGCGGATGTGCCTACACACCTCGACGACCGGACGGCTAGCATCGTCCAGCTGGAAAGGATGATAATCATCCGCTCGCCGTTTCGTACTCAGTTTCGAGAACGGGGTGCACGGGGGCCCTGCCGCATACAAGTCCTGCGGGAAAGGCAAAATCCGGCAAGGTCGCATGCCATGCTATGCACCCGGACACATCAAGAGAAGCTGAAACTCCCTTCAATCCCAATCTTCGCCCTAGGTACAACTCTGGCTCTACCGCCGTCCACATTTAATTCTGACAGTGACATGCTTCAACCCTTCGACGACCCGCAGCACATGCTAACACCACTGCACTGCACAACTGCTTGCACAATGCTCCTCCACGTCCCCTGCTAAAGAAGCTGGAGCACAGGTGGTATTATGAATATCACATCGGCCACCACCATGCGTGCCGTAGCAATCGGTGAAGAGGTGTTCACCTGAGACTGGCTCGCGAGGAGCAGGCGACGACAATCACTCATGACTACTGACTACTCTTTCCGACTAAAGTCGCCTGCCACGTTACCATGCTTCTGCTGCCTACTAACCCTCCTGCCGGCTGTGCTCCTGGTTGAGTGACCCCTTTTCGCAAATACAACCAAGTTCTAGATTCTAGATTAGAGCGTGTGCGAGGCGGCCAAAAGGCATTCGTAGTGCGATTCCAAAAAACGCCGTACTTCTTTCGAAGAGTCAGACGACCCGACCTCCCGGAAGGCCACGCCCACGGCTTTGCGCAGATCTGACCTTGCCCAGAAAAGAAAACGAACTGACTGATCTACTGACCCTGATCTAAACCTACAGCCTGAGCCTATCTCTCACTCACGCAGAACATGAGCACTGCATTTGTTTTACAGACTATACACGCCGTGTGACACGCTACATTTACATGCTGCAATAGCAGAGGCGTGGAAAACGGCCTGAACCAAAACAAGACGGATGACCGAGGCTGGCGCATGCAGTAGTTCAGTGTGCCAGCGCCGGAGCAATCGGAACAAATGATATACCTGAGAAACTGAGAGAAACAGAAAGTGGAGGCCCAACTTCCCTCTTGCAGGGGGACCGCTGTGGGGCTGAAGACTCAAACGACTAGCAGACAAGCAGTCCCTCCCCACCACGTACTTCGCTCCCCTCATGTGCAGCTTGAAAACTTGTCTCGACCGTTCGGCGGAACGAACTGGTGCGGCTGAAGTCCGGAGGCTTCCAGGTAGAGCTCGGCGCTTCGAAACATTGTAGGAACGCTCACTGCTGTGGATGCAGAATCAGTATCAGTTTCATCGTTCGACATTTCACCTTCTTCGTCTTCTGTTTTCCGAGAGGTCAACAAGGAACCCTCGCCTTCAGAGCCCGCATCCACCTCGCTGCTGGCATCCATCGCAGAACCTTCGCGGTCCTGCGTCGGCCGGCGGCAACGGAATGCAGAGGATAGCTGCAGCTACATGCTACGATGTGACGATGACATGTATTCTCCAAGCACGCTCGACTCCGGCATGTCCCTTCATTGGCAAAAGCTTGCTTCGCGGGGCGCACAGTCCTCGTTCGAGACTGCTGGCACGGCTTTCTCCATTCGCTCCTGTGACCAATGAGATCAAACATCAGCGATATCAGTGACAGTGATTATCTTATAACTTACAACATAACATATCATATACCGCACCACTCGCCACTCGCAACCAGCCGGAATGATCCGAAGTGTCTGTGACGCAGCCGGCAAAGGTGCTCCTGAGACTCCTTGGCAAATTTCGCCATCACTGCAAGGAGCCCATGGCTCTCATCCGGCGGCTGCATGCTCGACTCTTCCGATTGTCGTGCCCCTGCAGCCCTTCTACTTGTGCTGTCCACATAACGACGCGAAAAGTCCAGCTGGGATATACAAAATCACGTTCATCCGATTCACTCGGGCTCACAACATGCTCAAAGCCTCAAAGCCAGGTTGGGGCAGAATAAACGCAGCACAGCGCAGCATAACAGCATGACTCCACATGACAGCACAAATCATAGCAAGAATGATAAATCCTTAAAACAAAACCTCTTATTATCCCAGTTACCCAATGCTTTAAATTGACGAGCCCTTTTGAGCCTTGATACCTCCGATCATGGTGCCATTATGATCCAGTTATAGTTATAGTCCCGGAAAACACTGAAATAGTTTTTGAAAACAGCTAAATAGTCTTAGAAAGCACGACATTTGAAACACAAGACCCCCTTTAAACAAACAACCGGTGGTTCCAATGCTGGTGCATCTTTGCTTTAGCCCGAGGGCCTCAATTGCATGCTGTGCGATGCTTTCACGGTGAGCTTCTTCGGTATATGTGTGTATATGTATGTATATAATAGATACAAAATACCATTGCTATATTCATCGTCTTAACTGGGCTAACTGACTTAGTCAGCTTACCTAACTGCTCCATCTGGACTTACCTAAGTCCCTTATCTCTCACTTACTAAGTCCATTAATTGGACTTGGCTAACCGGTCTAAGTTTGGCACTAACTTGTATAAGTCCACTATCTACATAGTAACCCCCACGATCCTTCAAGTAACCATTTTGTGTCCACTGGCGAACTCGCGCCAGTGCGCCGGCTAGCAGACCAGCCGGCTGCAAGCCAAGCGCCGCAGCAGGCCTCAATCCCAGCGCTTCCTCCGACAGTGGCAGGTAAATGCGAAAGCGCCCCTGGTAAACCGGCGGGTACGCAAAGTGGTTCGGATCCACTTGCGGGTGGTGTACAGCCACCACTCCGCGCTCCCATGCAGGCGTGCCGGATGTGTCGCCCAACTCGCTCCTGCAATGGGCAGATTTCGCGTAGCTGGAAAGTCGCCGACAATCGCACTCCCATATGGTCATGCCTGCCTTCATTGGCGGCTTTCTGATCACGATCTTTGAAGACCTCAAGGACCCCTACGTGGGGGTAGTTGTCCGGATGGTCCACCAGCCGCAATACTAAGAGAAGTACCTGGATCGGTAGAAGGGCACTGCAATACTGTAGTGGGGAGAGGCGCCGTCCCGGTCCCCAAGGCCATGACAATGAAGCTGCCGTCCCTGGCCAAGGGAGAGGACGTGGTGGCCTGATCTGCCTGTTGCCATTGCGCGGCGATCTCATCCACGAGTAGCCACCACCAAACTTGTGGCCTCGCCAATTCTCTCCATGAGAGGTCATGAGCTTGGTCGTCCGGAAGATGTTGGAGCGGCTCGCAGAGCTCCGCCAACGCAGCACTGATAGCAAGGAGAGGGTTGACGCAGAGGCGCCACGCCTCGTCCTCCGTGCAGCATCTGAGCCGCATTGCTCTGTCAGCAAAGCTGCATATGTCGCATCCAAATTGGTCAACGTTGATCCGAATCGACCCTGCGGTGAGGGACATCGGTAGTGTTATGGAGTCCGTGCCCTATATAAGACTCCAGGTCCTGGATTTATTCAAATGTGCCAACAATGTGCCAACAATGTGAATACAAGGATGCCCGAAAATGTGAAATGTGAAAAAAATGTGCCGGTAAATGTGAACCAAATGGGACGGAAAATGTACACCCTCCAAATCCCCATTGAAATCCTCGTGTTTTAATTTAAAACCTAACTAAGCCATTCTAAATCTATGAAAATATAGCAAAAGCCTTGAAATCCTTGGTTTACTCAATTGGAATCTAATTACATATTAACTTGAATTATAGTTAACAGTGCTTGTTATTCCAAATAAACACAAAAGCTGTTGTGTTTCTATGAAAATCTAAATAAACACACATTGAATTTGTTAAAGAACGGGCTTCACTAAGGGTTCCTACCCACAAAGACTGTCGGACACTTTTGTTCCTGGGCACGGTGTGTCCTGGGGTCTCGAGCCTGCACGTCGCGTGTGCGTGACGGCTGTTCCTGTACATTAACTGTACTGCACTAGCTGTGTTACTGTTCCTGGCAGAATGTTTAACACCCCGCCTTCGGAGTTAGCGAAAGTTCCTCGACTGAGGTGACTCCGACTTTTCCTTGACAAACAGTAAACACACTGCAGTTCCTTTTCACTTGCAAAACAAACACTGTTCCTCATCGCAAACGTATGCGCACGTTCACTCGCAATCCTCTCCAAGGTTGCTCGACTGTACAAAAGACGTTCCTGCACTTTACCTAGATCACCACAGAAACAAAAAGGGCTGTGCCACGGTTCCTGTGTCCTGCTGCTTCTTTCCTCGGCTCTCTGGCCTCAGTACTGCTCGTGGTTCCTTTGCTTCACTGGAAGGTTACTTCGCCTTCCTCTTCGCTGTCTTTAGCTTCCTTCTGGTCTTGAAGCTGTTCCTTTAGCCACTCTTCTTTCATCTTTGCTTGCGCTTTGCACTTTTCTTTTCCTTGCTTG